TCCTCCCCTCTCCCCCGCTCCCTCCTTCTCTCCCCTGCTCCCTCCTCCTCTATGGCAGCTTGAATCACATCCCAAGGAAGCTTGAATTGCATCCCAAACACTTACACAATGTATCCCGATGGAACTACCATTTATGTGTGGAAGGGACACGACTTGCGATAGGACTTGGGGCTCTAAGCCCGCAAAGGGCCGAGTGGGTCATTCCGAACTTCGAGTGACTGAACCCCGGAGAGTATTCCCACGCCTGATACCCTGCCTCTTACACAATGTATCCCGATGGACCTACCATTTATGTACAGATCATGCACCTGAACATCTCTACTTCCACGCGTACATTTGAACACGCAGGGGCATGGAATGTCAGGTTTCGAGCAAGCAGCCCCGCTCAATTTGTTAGGCACGCAAGCGGCATTCAGGAGGTCGTGGGTTCAATCCCCACTGACCGCCTGTGGCACTCTTGGTGCCAACCAACTGAGATAGTTGGCTTGCTCCCCCCGTTCCGTATTGGTAGGGTCTTTGGCCATCACGGGTGTGTCTGTGTGTGTGAGTGTGTGGTGTGTGGGAAAGTGCTGGCCATAGACACGGCTGTTACTCGATGGGGCGGGGGAAGTAGATGGGAGGTGCAGCTTACTGGCAAAATGATCGGTCTCTGCGTTAGCCGCCCCCCCCCACCGGCGGCCCCACCCTACTCCCTCACCACCACCGATTAGGGCAGGCGGCAACATGCATCCCCTTAATTGTGCCAGGTAGCTATGCTTGCAGGGGTACCCTGTAATGGGCCTGTATAGGCTTAGGAGTAGTGCTATGCAGGTTGGAAAAGGGAAAAAAAAAAAAAAAAAAAAAAAAAAAAAAAAAAAAAAAAAAGATGGGTTTCCTCAGGTATGTCTTTTCTACTCCCTCTTAAACACGTTATATTGAAAAGAACCGGTAATTAAACCACCAGTACTTGCGGGCCTGGCAGCCACCGCTCTGAGCGCCAAGTTTTGCCAAACCGCCAGCGGTGCACTTCTTTTCTTTTTTGGCTGGCACCGCCAGCCATTATGGTCTAGAAGCCCTGAGCCTCCAGAATTTTGGGAATAAGCCATGAAGAAATGTTGCAAGGCTGGGGCCGTGTACTGGCGGTTTTAAGTAGGGAGGGTGGGTGGCGGTGATGCCGTAAAGTAACGGACCCTTGAAAAGAGAGGAATAAGAGGGACAAAGGAAACTATAAGGGAGGGAGGAGGGGGGAGCAAGGAAAAGAAGAAAGAAAATGCATTATGTCTTCTCCAGCTGCAGGATGTGATGAGTCGACAATGGCAATTGTGTTAATTGAAACCACAATAATAGAAAAAAACTCTTTACTCGAATGAAATGAATACTATCAATTGAGGCACACACAAAGGAGAAAGAAAAGGCATATATGACTGGGATCGGAACAAGGATGTCGGTGAAAAGGTCCACTTAAAGCACTAGTACCTTCGGCGCGTGGGAAAATAGGGAAAAGTGGACGTTTTCCCAAACTCCTAAAGTTTCGGAGGCCGAGCCCGACGACGGCTGCCATTGATAAATCTGATCGGCGGCCGTCGTTTCATTTCGGCCTCTGAAAAGGTCGGAGGCCCACCGGAGGCCCGCTATTTTCCATGCACCAAAGGTACTAGTGGTGGGAGACATCATCATGCAAAGGAATGGGACACAGAAAAGAGTAATACTGCAACTGGGGTGAAGGCAGCTAGTTAAAGGGGGGTGATTAGACCAAGCATCTTTTGGTCAGGGAGAGATCTCTGTAGGCTGTACCTTTAGCATAACGCTCTTCGACAGGAAGAGAGGTATTGTTCGTTGACACGACTAGCTAGCACAACCAACAAGCACACACAACGCATAACGAGGACAGTTAGTAGAGTCCACCAAGCCACACACACACACACACACACACACACACACACACACACACACACACACACATACATACAGACGGCCAGACAGACAGACAGACAGAGCAGGTTCACAAATTAAAAAGTAAATCACTTAGGGGGGAAAAAACAAATCAGAGGTCTTTACACTCTGTCCAATTTTAAGTAATATTAATCTTAAACGAGAAGTCTAGAGTCTAGACAGACTACAACCACCATCATCACTCATCCAGATCGACAGACGGAATTCCGGAGGTCGTGGGTTCAATCCCCGCAAACCCGCTTGGGCATGGTGGTCCTGTTCCAGCGCTGCTGCTCAAGATGCATCTCGATTCTCCTCGCGATCTTCTTTTTTTTTTTTTTTTTTTTAATCAATCAGTTTCCTAAACAAGAGGGTTCAGAAAACACTTTGCGATTCACAGATCAAAAGGTGAAAGTTATGGTGAATAAATTAGAATAATAGTTTAAAAAAAAGAGAGAGATTTTTTACTATAATGTTAGTGACGTAGGGCCATTTAGTCCACGGAACCGTAACTGACCTCCTTGCCAGCATTACTTGATATTTATTGTTTCCTATTTAATAGTATTCAATATTATTATCCATTTCACTCACAGTCAGTGTAATTTTTACAGCTAACCGTTGATTTCAATGATTTGTGCATTGCATAATTATTAATTATTATTATTATATTAATTAATAATACTAATCGACCACTGCTGCTGAACATTGCTCTCTCACCTCATTGCTTCTTTCCCCCCCGGTGGGGGAGCGGGGCGGCGAGGGTTGCGTAAAAAAGCAGTTTTCATTTTAATATCATTAATCTTCTCAGCTGTCAGCCTGTCACATCTTTTTCCCCCCGCTTTCTGCAAATATCCACCCACCCCCTTCCTTTATCATGTCTATTCTCCGTGTATTTAAAAATGAACCCAAAAATCAATGTGTGACAAATTAGTCACAAGTTCACAACTAATGCCACACATTGATTTTTGGGTCCATTTTTTCCCCCTTGAAAAAGTCAGGGGGGAAGAAGGAAAAAAAAAAAAAATTGTGTGCCAGTTGCATGCCAACAGCAGCACTTGTGCCCCAGTGCCACATTGAACAACAGTCACGTGCTATCTCGTCAGGGGATACTGCTGCAGCTAAATAGTAAAAACAGGAGGACCGGGCATTCAAGTTGATTCAACCAAGAGTCAGAGACAGCCTAAGCTCTGCAAGGCTGCAAGCATATTCCCTTGGATGGTGCATCACATAGCTGCTGCACCTTAAAAA